GCGCAGCGGGCTCCCTGCAGCCCTCCGGAGCGGCACCCCCTCACGCCTGCCTTGCAGAGAGCTTTCTCGCCGGCTCTTGCCAACGGATGACCTTCAAACTGCAGAACGCAGCTTTCCCACTCCTCTCCTCCCTGTTAGGAGGGAGAAAGGCATCGAGGCGCAGGTACAAGCCCAGCTGCAAGAGCCCAGGGCATGCCTGAAAGCTCCCGGGGTCCCACGCAGGGGGGCTGGCGCTGCACCCCTGTGCACCGGGCTGGGCCAGTGGTGTCCATGCAAAGCCTTTCCAGGAGGCACAGGGATGCTTTGCTCCGGGCCAGGGGAGCAGCCCCACTCCCCATCCCCATCACACCGGGACCCTGTCCCACTTGTGTGACGTGGCATGGACAAGATGCAATACAGCCCAGCCCAGCACTGTACCCCCCCCGCCAGACCTCAGCCACCAAAGGGACCCAGCCGTCCCCACAAAGCTTTCCCTGGGCACTCTGACAACTACAACGAGGAGACACAGCTCTTCCCAGGGTTACAAGCTGCTCCGCTGACACCTTAACTTGGATACCCAGCCCCCAGCTTCAGATTCGCCTCTCTCTGCAGCCGCTTCAGCTGCTGATTTATTCTCCCACACATGCCCGTGCTAACAACTCCCCAGGCACGCTGCAGCCCAAGCCAAGCCCGAGCGCCCTGCATCCTGGGCTTCGGGCCCTGCTGCAGTGCTGCATTGCAAGCACTGCAGGGAAGGAGTTACTTAACTTTACAAAGAGGCACTTTCCCTTTTGCTTGAGAGGCTTTAGCTAGCGTCAGGGAGCAGTTCCCACCAGATGGAGGTCTCCTGCAGTTGTCAGGCTCAAAGACCAGCCCATGGGATGCTACAGAGGAGACTTCACAACCAGGAGTGTCCTGGGGAAATCATGCTGCTACCCGGAGTACGACTTAGCGGAGGGATGCCTGGCTCTGCAGACACGCCTGAGCAGGCAGGGTGCTGCAAGGGGACAGTTAATTACAGGAAAGACGATTCCTTGCAGCTTGTAACACTTTTAATCCTGTCTGCCACCGCTATAACATGATGAACATAATCTGCATTGAATGTGTGGGGTAAACGGAGGCTGATCTCCTTCCTGTCATTCTGTGGTCTCAGGAAGACAGACGTGATATGTTACCACTAAATAAAGCACAGAAGAAAACGTAATGGAAGGCTGGCCCCCCCCCCCCCCGCCCCCCCCCCAGCCACTGATACTTTTCCATCTGCCCAAAGCTGCTGCACTTTGTACCACCAGAGCCCTGACCTTCAGGACACGGGCAAGCCCCTCCGGGGGCTCCAGGCTACCGGCCCCCGCCTGCAGGCACAGGAGACAGGGAAGGGGCCTGGGGAGCAGCCACTCTCGCTGCTGCCAGAGCCTTGGCTCTTTGCACAGAGGGTGAGCACCTGGAGCGAGCCCCCCGTGAGGGGTCCCCAAGCCACCAAGCTATATGCAGCAGTGCTGGGTGTGCAAGCCGGGACCCAGCCCCAGTGACAGCAGCGATAGCCCTCCAGCCCAGGCCAGGGCCCAGAGCAAGACTGTCCCCCCACGGGCTGCTGGCAGCCCCCTGCTTTTCCTGCAGCCCATCAGGAACCCCGCCTGGGAACCACTGCCCTGATGGAAAGGGCACACAGGATTCACCTGAAAAGCCACGGGACGCCCCCACCATCTGTGAGAAAGCTGCTCCATAAAAACTTTCATTGCCCATAAAAATCGATGTGACCTCCTGGCATGGAGAGCAAGCCATGCCTGGCGGGCTGGGCAGGCTCCCCTCCACCGAGGTTAGAAGGGAGGAGCTCCCAGGCCAGCCTGAGCCCAGGCACGACTTGCTCTGGGACAGGACACCTGGGCTGTGCCCTTCCCGTGGCCACTGATGGCAGAAACTGTGCTGGAGCTCCCTGGATAGCACAGCATCCCCGAAACGCACATTCACAGAGAGACCTGCCCAGAAACTTTCCACTTCCCACCTGAGTGACCTGTGGGACAAGGTTCCCACCTCCATGCCCTGGACCCCAGGCCCCCAAGTGCCCTGGTCCCCAGCATCTCCGAGTCTCTCCTGCCACCTGAGCCTAGCCGAGGAGGCACTTTCAACCAGGGACCAGCACCCAGATCCTGCAGGGAGCCTGGTACTTACATGTCTGCTCGTGTCTCCAGCTCACTCAAACTTAAGAACCATGCCCTCTAAAATGCCTCTCAAGGGAGATTCCCAACAGCAAGTGCTGCAAAGGCAGCCCTTGGTTTCAGGCTCTCTGTGCCCGTCGACACAAGGATGACCTCCGCGAGCCGAAGCGTAGCCGGTGCGTGAGGGCTGATGCGGGTGGCTTGGAACCAGCCCCAGGGGCTCCAGTGGGGAGGGGACGGCTGCAGACTCCTTCCTCCACCCTGCAGCTGAGGGATCTCAGGCACCCCTGGCCACAGGTCTGGGTGTCATGCTCCAAGCGGCAGCCCTGCAGTATGGGTTTGTCCCTGCGCTGGGGAGAAGCGCATGCAAATGGTTGTTTTACAAAATGAACTGTAAAAAGGATGACCTGTCGGCGGGCGTGCTGGCGGCTGCGTTGAAGCAGTGCATGGCTTCCCTACGGCTATCTCCCCGGCTCCCGTTAGCAGGCAGGTAGCAGCGGTCCCTGCTCGCAGAGCAGCAGAGCAGGGCAAAGCGGGATGCAGCCGCAGTGCTCACAGAAGAAAGCGCTGGCGATGTTAGCGACTGATGCAGCAGGGCAGGGGGCTGGAGCTGGGACTTCAGAGTCCGCTCTCGGACCCGGCTGCGAAGTCACCTTGGACAAGTCACTTATCCTCAGTGCTTCGGACTCGCCGTCTGCAGAGCAGAGAGAATTACATTAGCGCCCGTGGACGGGAAATCCATCCGAGCAGCAGCG